TGAAAAGTGTGAGAAAGGGGCCAAGTACCTTGAGAAAAAAAAAAAGAAAAAAAAAAAAGAAAAACTAGGAACCATTTGTGTTTGATCCAGCATTTGCCATGGACAAGATGCCAGCATCTTTGTGCTTCAGGATGAAGTTCTTATAATGAAAGTTTTCTCTATAGATGGACTTGCTGCAGGTGCCATTATGGGATGTGAAGTCACTACCCTGCCACATAAACCCTGGAATAATTGTGTGAAGGCAGGAACTCTTATAACCAAATCCTTTCTCTCCATTGCTTAGCAGGAAAGTTTTTGCTGTCTTTCAGCAAACAGCTCAAAGGAAACGTGGCCCAAGGGCTCATCCTCATGGCAATACTGAAGAACATGGTGGGGTAGACTGTGGCTAGTGGCAGAGGGCTCCGGGAGTGGTGGTGTCTGCAAAGTGTGCTAGCCCACATTCTTAAGAAAAAACAACAGAACTCTACTTGGCATATCCATTGCCAGCACAAAGTTCAAGATGTCCAAATTGGACTTACTTTCTTTTTTTCAGCGTAGCCTTTTCTTAAGCACAAACAGAAAAGAAAATAGCCTTTTCTTAAGCACTGACAAAAAAGAAAAGCAGAAACAAAACCTACTATGGCAAAAAATAAATTGTTAGGATCAAAAAGCACTTTGCTGTCTGGTCATGGTGGCTCATGCCTGTAATCCCAGCACTTTGGGAGGCCAAGGTGGGCAGATTACTTGAGATCAGGAGTTTAAGACCATCCTGGTCAACATCGTGAAACCTTGTCTCTACTTAAAAAAAAAAACAAAAAAAAAACCAGGCATGGTGGCGCATGCTTGTAATCCCACCTACTCAGCAGGCTGAAGTGGGAGGATTCCTTGAATCTGAGAGGCAGAGGTTGCAGTGAGCTGAGATTGCACCACTGCACTCTAGCCTGGCCCTCAGAGTGAGACTCCATCTCACAACAAAAAAGAAGAAACAAACACCACTTTGCTGTGGGCAAAAGAAAACAAAAGAATACCTTTTCTTCCTCAAGTTACCAGCTAAACACTAGATACCACTTCCTCCTTGTCTCATTCAGTTGGTCTCCATGTCATTTATTGCCTTTTCCTTACCTCTTTATTCTGTTCTTATCCCATTGTCTTAGCACTGGGTTCTTATTTTATCTACCTATCTTGCCTTTGTTACAGGAATCGTGTCCTTTTTGGCCTTTCCTCCAGGGTAGCTCCTTTCTAAATTGCTGCACAGTTGAGAATTATTTCTTTTCTTCTCAAGCTAAAATCCTCTCTATAACTCTTCTTATTTATTTATTTATTTGTTTAAAGACGGGATTTCACCATGTTGGTCGGGCTGGTCTTGAACTCCCAACCTCAGGTGATCCACCCGCCTCGGCCTCCAAAGTGCTTGGATTACAGGCATGAGCCACCATGCCCAGCCAGCCACCACGCCCAGCCTCGATAACTCTTATGAAAAAGTTCAAAGCCCTTAGCTCAGCACAGTTGGCCTTTTATTACCTATCTCTAAACCTTACCCTTTTTTTTTTTTTTTTGAGATGGAGTTTCATTCCTGTTGCCCAGGCTGGAGTGCAATGGTACTATCTTGGCTCACTGCAACCTCTGCCTCCCAGGTTCAAGCGATTTTCCTACCTCACCCTCCCAAGTAGCTGGGGTTATAGGCATGTGCTACCACTCCCAGCTACTTTCTTTTGTATTTTTAGTAGGGATAGCATTTCTCCATGTTGGTCGGGCTGGTCTTGAACTCGCGACCTCAGGTGATCCACCTGCCTAAGCCTCCCAAAGTGCTGGGACTACAGGTGTGAGCCACCATGCCCAGCCTTAAACCTTACTTCTTTCTGCTGTTTCACATGCACATTCTACCTTAAATGTAACAGAATCCTTGTGCCATAGCTTTTAGGCATATCAGTTTTTTTTTTCTTTTTTTTTTTTTTTTTTGAGACAGAGTCTTGCTCTGCTGCCCAGGCTGGAGTACAGTGGCATGATCTCGGCTCAGTGTAGCCTCTGCCTCTGGGTTCAAATGATTCTCCTGCCTCAGCCTCCTGGGTAGCTGGGACTACAGGCATGCACCATCATGCCTAACTAATCAATGTTGAGTGTATAAATTGTGCTGGAGTGTAGGTGGTTCAGACGTTTCCACCTGCATATTGACCCCAGTTTGGGCTATGAGAGCTGAAGTTTTCTCTAGAGATTTGTTTTGTTTTGATTACTTCTGTCTTAATGGCTTTATCAGTGCAATTTTCTGATTTAGGTTTCTGTGCTGATCCCTCTTTTGGAGAATGGAGAGCTTTTGATTCCGGGCAGAGGTGACTATCTGAAAGTGGCGTCTGGATTTCAGTTTTTTGCAACCAGGAGGTATGTACTAGTAACTTTTGGTTTTCACTCTGAAGCCGCTTACTCATAAGTTTGCATGCTGAGCTAATGAAGATCATTTATAAAATAAGAGATTTTTTTCCCACTTAATAAGAAACCAGTTTAAAACCCTTTACCTTATTTCGTGTTTTATAAAATAATCAGATGTGAGGTTATTGTTATATAGCCCTGGGTTTGAGTGTCAGGACTCAAACCCAGGGCTGTATAACAAGCTTAGTACCTAGGTATACCTTGTCTGTCTGGTTATGATGGAGTTAATAATACCTTCTTTAAATGGTGGCTGTAACGAAGAAGTGAAATGACTTGTACTAAAGACCTGTCACAATAAATGCCCAGTTACTGGCTAGCCATGATGGTGATAATGATAGGTAGACTTCAGACAACTGAAAAATTGGATATAAACATGAACAGAGGCACAAAAACTGAGCATGCTTAGTATATATTCCTGCGTACATTTAAAAATTATATGAAGGCAATGGTTTATTTCTTACTGCTAGTCTATACCTGCACAGCTTCTTCAATGTCTTAAAAAGCCCCATGAGTGAAACTAACACCATTCTATAGTTAATGATTATATTAGTGTTTACCTCAGTTAACATTCACTTCTAGATGGAACATGGAGCTAACCCAATAGTACTCAAGGAATACCTTCCTAGACCCAATTACTCTTTTTTTTTTTTTTTTTTAATGGGGTCTTGCTGTGTTGCCCAAGCTGATCTTGAAATTCTGTGCTCAAGCAATTTTTCTAGCCCAGCCTCCCAAGTAGCTGAGACTACAGGCACATGCCACTGTGTCTAGCTGACTCCGATACTTTTTTTTTTTTTTTTTTTTTTGAGATGAAGTCTTGGTCTGTTGCCTAGGCTGGAGTGCAGTGGTGCGATCTTGGCTCACTGCAGCCTCTGCCTCCTGGGTTCAAGCAGTTCTCCTGTCACAGTCTCTCGAGTAGCTGGGATTACAGGCGCCTGCCACCATGCCTGGCTAATTTTTGATATTTTTAGTAGAGACAAGGTTTCATCATCTTGGCCAGGCTGGTCTTGATCTCCTGACCTCGTGATCCGCTGCTTTGGCCTCCCAGAGTGCTGGGATTACAGGCATGAGCCACGGCACCCGGCTCAACCCTTCTACCTTTCTTTTAAACATAGATAGTGTTCTGCTTTGTCACCTAGGCTGGAGAGGAGTGGCTTAATCATAGCTTGTTATAACGATAAACTCCTGGGCTTATGTGATCTCCTGCCTCAGCCTTTTGAGTACCTAGGACTACAGATGTACACCATCATGCCTGGCTAAAAATAAATTTCTTTTCTTTTTTTTAACGGTTTGACAGTTTGGGAGCTTAATTGACAGTATGGCCATTTCTCACTACATATCAGGCCAAATGATTTTTCCAATTTTCTCTGCATGTCTTTTCCTCTGTCAGACCTCCCATGTGGCAATTAAAAATTTTTTTTTTTACTTTTTTTTTTTAAGGGATAGGGTGTTCCCTCATTGACCAGGCCGATCTCGAAATCCTGGCCTCAAGCAGTCCTCCCGCTGTGGCCTCCTAAATTGTTGGAATGACAGGCATGAGCCATTGAACCTGGCACTGTTAGTTTTAATAGACCTTGTTTTATTTTTTTGAATTAATTTATCTGAGACCAAGTCTCAGTCTCTTGCCAGGGCTAGATTGCAATGGCATGATCTTGGCTTACTGCAACCTCTGCCTCCTGGATTCAAGTGATTCTCATGCTTCAGCCTCCAAGGTAGTTGGGACTACAGTGGCATGCCATGACTCCTGGCTAATTTTTGTGTTTTTAGTAAGGGCGGGGTTTTGTCATGTCGCCCAGGCTAATCTTGAACTCCTGGCCTCAAGCAATCCACCCTCTTCGGCCTCCCAGAGTGCAGTGATTACAGGTGTGAGCCACTGCATCTGTCCTATTTCATGTTTTTTTAGAGATGAAGCCTCAGTTTGTTGCCCAGCCTGTCTCGAAGTCCTGAACTCAAGCAGTCTTCCTACTTTGGCCTCCCAAAGTGCTAGAACTACTGACATGAGCCACCAAGCCTGGCTGACCTTGATTTTATTTATAGAGATAGTGAAGTTCTTTCCTTTTAGATTCAAACACTTCCCAGAAAGTCCTGGGACATCATGGAAAGATGTTAGGCAAACTTGTAATCCAATAAACTTGAATTTAATTTTCAGTTATGCTGTTTGCAGTCATAGTTGAGTGTACAAGGGCCATGCTTTCCATCTCTTCCATTTATGTCAGAAGAAAAGAATGGTATCTTCCTCTCAGGACAGTTGTGAGAATTAAGTGGCTTACTGATAAGCATGTACCTTTCCCAGAGTGTATGTTTAATGTATATTCCTTCTCCACTGGAAATTTTTAATGGTTTTAAGTACTGTAGCTTCTGGTAACAAGCTGTGAACTTAATGTTGTTGCTATGGACCTTAGAGTATGTTTTCTCTTTCCTGAGGTTATTTATGCCCTAAGGAAGAGGAACATGTCATTGAAATAAAAACTTTTACCTTTTAGAATCATCTGCAGTGATTTGAAAATACTTGGTTAAAGCACTATCACTCCTTTTTAGGAGAAGAGCCAAACATGGGTTAACTGTCAGCCTCTCATTTCTCATCTGCTCTGTAAGCCCAACAGTGTAGTATCTGGAAACAGAGGGTTTATGAGTATTCGTCATATGTGAGACAATGTACAGCAAGTAATATCCAGAGGCATAATTCAGGATTAAAATTTGGAGTTTTGTTTGACTGTGTTTTTTATTTTGAATCGTAGACTCTTGAGCTGTGGAGGAAATTGGTATAGACCGCTAAATAGTCATGCTACTTTGCTAGACAAATATTGGACCAAAATTCACCTGAATAATCTGGATAAGAGAGAACTGAATGAGGTATGTTCCTCTTAGAATCAATGCTTTTCTTTTTTACATGAAAAGTTCCAAACTTGCATGAAACAGGAAATAGTATAATAAACCACCAGAATAGTTATCAACCTAAATTTTACACTCTATGTGCTAGTATTTTACTATATTTGCTTCATGTATTATTTTTTCTGTGCTAATACATTTGAAAGCAAACTTCCAGCATACATCTCTAAAAATTTAAGGTCATTATATATAACCACAATAACATTATTATATACAATAAAATAAATAGTAATTCTGCAGTATCATTGAATTTTTGGGTTATGTTTAGACTTTCCAAATTGTCTCCACAGGATCATTTTACTAAGTTGATTTGAAGTAATTTCTTTTACATGTAACTTAATGGACATTTTGATCTAGGCATTAATGAGAATTGAGGTAAATCACTTTATAGATTTTCTATATTGGTTCAGTTTGTAGTATTTTGGTTATCCTAGATCCGTAAGAAGTATACCTCACTTGGCTGTGCTCACGCCCTTCTTCCCTTGTATGTCTCACTTGGAGGGTTTCCCTTCCGCAGTGCTTTTTCTAGGAGGGTGGCAGACAAAGCATGGTCAGTGGTCATTCAGACATGGGAGAAATGGTTTGTACTTTCTTGATTTATGTGTATAGATAATTATATGACACTAAATAAACTTCAATATTTTTTTTTGTTTTTGAGACGGAGTTTCATTCTTGTTGCCGAGGCTGGAGTGCAATGGCGTGATCTCGGCTCAATGTAATCTCCGCCTCATGGGTTCAAGCAATTCTTGATTACAAGGTTATAAGGGGATTACAGGTGTGAGCCACTGCACCCGGCCACAAACTTCAGATATTTTATCCTACATTTTCTTTTCTCTTTCTTTCTTTTCTTTTCTTTTTTTTGACATAGTTTTGCTCTATCGCCCAGAACAGTGCTCTGTGGTGTGATATCAGCTCACTGCAACCTCTGCCTCCTGGGTTCAAGTGATTCTCCTGTCTCAGCCTCCTGAGTAGCTGGGATTACAGGTGGCTGCTACGACATCAGCCTACTTTTTTTTTTTTTTTTTTTTTTTGGAGACGGAGTCTTGCTCTGTTGCCAGGCTGGAGTGCAGTGGCACGATCGCTGCTCACTGCAGCCTCAGCCTCCCGAGTAGCTGGAACTACAGGCATGTGCCACCATGCCCAGCTAATTTTTGTATTTTTAGTAGAGAAGGGGTTTTACCATGTTGGCCAGAATGGTCTCGATCTCTTGACCTTGTGATCTGCATGCCTTGGCCTCCCAAAGTGCTGGGATTACAGGCCTGAGCCACCGTGCCTGACCGCATACAGCTTATTTTGCAGTTGTGAGTTGCTTATTTCACTCAGAGTTGCAGTTCTATATTTTTGTGTCTGATATATCTTTTTCCTCATCTTGTTGCCCCAACTATAAGCTCCTTTAGTAAGCTTTTCACCTTTGTGTTCTAAGAACTCATCCTGTGCCTGGCACACAGTAATACTGTTTGTTGTATTGATGTGTGATAATGCAACTCTTTCTTTTGCTGTTGTAGACATTTGAATGTTTAGTTTTTCAACTTAAATTTACTAGTCTGTTCTTTGAAAGGACAGGACTGAAGTTCACATTTCGGTGTGATTCTTTTGGGGGTGGGGATTAAGGGATGAAGAACATATGACAGCTTCTCTTTTCTTATTTTATTCTGTACTTGAAGGCTAGGCTCATCATTCCATTTTTGTCATGAGCAGCAGTGAGTCATTCTGCTCATAGGAAGAACAACAGGAGCATTCGTCTTCTCACTTATTTCATGTATGTCATATTTAGACAGTTGACTTTGACATGCTGTCTTGTTGTCTTTGAACTTTTGGATTTACCAGTTTTAACAACACTCTCGATAATTGTTAGTGCTAAAACCCTTGTACATATTACTTAGGAAATTAAAAAAAAAATCTCCTACTTAATTCATAGAGAACACAAAGTACATTTCTGTTGCTGCCATCCCAGGTGTCTTATGGCTTGAAAGATTATGCGTTTGACTTCTTGCTGAAATACTGAACTGTGCTTTAAAAAATAAGCCATCTACAGTGCTTACCTCCTACATAGGAAGTGCCGGGAACTTGCTTTTGGCATTTTTTCAAAACTTGTCTCCCCCATACACCTTGAACATGCCAAGTGTCTTAAGTGTCTCCAGTTGTCTTAACTTGTAGATGGCCTGTGTTCTCCACTGGCAGTGCCCACTCACAGCCATTGGTAAGCTCTGACAGGCTCATCTCCTGCTCTATGAAACCTTCCTGGGTTTCCCAAGCAGAGCTGATGATGATGTGCTTTGGGCTGCAAGCTTGATTTTCTTGTACTTCTGCATCTCACACCAAGTGGAGCCTCTTGAGAGTCCACTACATTCCTCATTTATTTAGTTTCACTATCCTTGGAGGAATGTCTGATTCAAAATAGGTACTTTACAAATGCTTCTTACAGGAATGAATCCCCAAAATACCTATCAAATTGATAATAGAAGCATTTCATGTTTTTTTTTTAATTTTTTTTATTTTTAAGAGGAGTCTCATTCTGTCTCCCGGCTGGAGTGCAGTGGTACGATCTCTGCTCACTGCAACCTCCCACTTCCTGGTACAAGCAATTCTTCTGCCTCTGCCTCCCAAGTAGCTGGCACTACAGGCATATGCTGCCACACCTGGTTAATTTTTGTATTTTTAGTAGAGATGGGGTTTTACCATGTTGGCCAGGCTGGTCTCAATATGACCTTATGATATACCTGCCTCTGCCTCCCAAAGTGCTAGGATTACAGGTATGAGCCACCATACCCGGCCTCATGTCAGGTTAGTTTTAAAGTAATGCTGTATTTAATTTTTTATATTTATGGTAATAAAGAAAAGATATTTTTTGACCAAGCTAGAAAATGAAGCCTTAGTGAGAACACAAAAATGTTTTCTGTTTGGAACCTTTGGGCCAGGTGTGATGGCTCATGCCTGTAATCCCAGCACTTTGGGAGGCCAAGGCAGGCACATCACTTGAGGTCAGGAGTTCAAGACCAGCCTGGTTAACATGGTGAAACCCCATCTCTACTAAAATTACAAAAATAAGCCAGGTGTGGTGGTGCATGCCTATAATCTTAGCTACTCAGAGGCTGAGACAGGAGAATCGCTTGATTCTGGGAGGCAGAGGTTGCAGTGAGCCAAGATTGTGCCACTGCACTCCATCCTGGGCAACAGAGCGATACTCTTGTCTCAAAAAAAAGAAAAAAAGAAGGAAGGTTTTTCTCCAAATAGCTGAGTCCTCGAGTCATTAATAAAGTGTTAAACTTCGTAAAGTATTTTTCCAAGCATAATTAGCTTTTTATTTCCCTGCTGGATCATAAATATAACACATGCTCTTATCATGGAATTCCTGCTCAACAGTACAAAGGAATGAGCTATTGGTACATGCAGTATTGTTTAGGTGAACCTTATTTATTTAATATTTTGAATCAGAGTTTTGCTCGTTGCCCAGGCTGGAGTGCAATGGCGCAATCTCGGCTTGCTATAACCTCCGCCTCCTGGGCTCAAGCGATTCTCATGCCTCAGCCTCCCGAGTAGCTGGGATTACAGGTGCCTGCCACCACACCTGGCTAACTGTATTTTTTTTTTTTTAAGCATGCTTATCCCTTCATGGAAATTTTTTGTATTTTTAGTAGAGATGGGGTTTCACCGTCTTGTCCAGGCGGTCTCGAACTCCTGACCTCAGGTGATCAGCCTGCCTCGGCGTCCCAAAGTGCTGGGATTACAAGTGTGAGCCACTGTGCCCAGCCTAGGTGAATCTTTAAAAGATACTGTTAATAAATTAAGGAAACTAGAATACAGGCTACCTCCTGTATGATTCAGTGTATGTGACAGGCTTGACAAACAAAACCATAGAGATGGGTATCAGATACATGATTCCCAGGGGCAGAGATTTGGGGAAGAGATTGGTTATTACAAAAGGGGCACAAGGGAACTTTTTGTTTTAAGAATAATAGAAATAGTTCACATCTTGTTTGTGATTTTGAGTATGTGATTTTATAGTATATTTATTAAAACTTTACATCTAAAACAGTGAATCTTCAAGCATGAAAATTATACCTCAAAAAATCTGACTTACCAAAAGTCAGGTTAAGTAAGCCTTTATGTCTAAGTATATGAACAATTTGATAATCATTTTCTCTGTACCCACAAAAAGTGTATACTACATTTGAAAGATCCATTAAATTAATTATTGATTTCATTATTCTCTTCTATGTCCTTATTTTTATTGCATCTGAAATATGTGTTAAGCAACAATATGAAGAAATAAAACCTATTAATATCTACCACTTGATGACACTGTTAAGGCTTTAGTTCTTTATCTTTTGTAAATACATGGGCATTATTTATATATACAAAATGTGTCCTTACATATTCAAATTGGAATCCCAGTGTTTTTTTCAAGCTGGTTCTTTTTTTTTTATTTTGAGATGGAGTCTCGCTTTGTCACCCAGGGTGGAGTGCAGGGGCATGATCCCAGCTCACTGTAACTTCCATTTCCTGGGTTCAAGCAATACTCCTGCCTCAGCCTTCTGGGTAGCTGGGATTACTGGTCCCCATGACCACACCCGGCAAATGAAGATGACAAGCCTGAGCAACATAGTGAGATCTCACTCTTACCACAAATTAAAAAAAATTAGCGGAGTATGGTGTAGCCTGAAGCCTTTTCAGGGGCCTAAAGGTGGAAGATCATTTGCCAGATTCAGGGTTACATGAGCTATGATGGAGCCACTGCATTTCCAGTCTGGTTGACAGAGCAAGACCTTGTCTCAAAATAAGTATGAATTGCAAATGCTTCGCTAAGGGTTTCGACCTGAGGTTATCTGCCCGCTGCAGCCTCCCAAAGTGCTGGGATTACAGGCATGAGACACCATGCCCGGCCCAATTGTCTGTTTTTTAAAGATCAACTGCTCACCCATAAATTTGTATAATTATCATATGTCAAAAAGGAGATTGACTGCTTATCAGTACTTAACATTAGCTTCTTTCATTATGGTCTGCTTTTAAAATTTTGTTTTTTCTCTTCCTCTTAACAGATTTAATTATTATTTATTTTTTTCCTCCTCCTTCTCCTCTTCTTTTTCTTCTTCTTCATGTTATTTGAGAGAGGGTCTTACTCTGTCACCCGTGCTAGAGTTCACTGTTTCACTGCATTGGTGCTCAGCTCATAGCCTCAACCTCCCAGGCTTAGGTGATCTTCCCACCTCAGCCTCCCAGGCAGCTGGGACTACAGGTGTGTGCCACCCTGCTCAGCAGTTTTGTTTTTTTTTTTTTTCTTTTAATAAAGGTGAGCTTTCACCATGTTGCCCCAGCTGGTCTTGAACTCTTTGACTCAGGCAATCTTCCCACCTGTCTCCCAAAGTGCTGATACTACAGGTGTGAGCCACTGGCCTGGCTCCTTTTATATTCTTTTCATTGAGAAATTACATAATGAACCTTACCAGAGCTGTGTTTGAAATTAAATAGTAATTTAAGAATTCTTTAATGAATAAATTCCGTGGAGTTGGTTGTATATATTTTGGTTACTTGGAGAACCTTTTAACATCTCATTTCTGCCCCTCAAACTGTATTACAGATGGTGAGATTACAAGATAACTGAGTTCTGGGTAGGAAGAAAGTCGTGGTGTTTGAGTGGGATAGGTGGGTGGGAGCAGAAGTGGGTAAGACGGAAGTTCTTATTTTTGGTAAAGATGACATTTCATTTTATTTTTAATTTAATTTTATTTTTTTGGGATGGAGTCTCACCGTGTCGCCCAGGCTGGAGTGCAATTGTGCGGTCTTGGCTCACTACAAACTCTGCCTTCCAGGTTCAAGTGAGTCTCCTGCCTCAGACTCCTGAGTAGCTGGGACTACAGGCACGAGTCACCACACCTAACTAATTTTTGTATTTTAATTAGAGATGGGGTTTCACCGTGTTGCTCAGGATGATGATTTTGAACTCCTGACCTCAGGTGATCTGCCTGCCTCACCCTCCCAAAGTGCTGGGATTACAGCATGAGCCACTGTACCCAGCCTATTGATTGATTGATTGATTGAGTCTTGCTCTGTCACCAGGCTGGAGTGCAGTGGTGTGATCTGGGCTCATTGCAACCTCTGCCTTCTGGGTTCAAGCAGTTCTCCTGCCTCAGCCTCCCAAGTAGCTGGGACTACAGGCATGCACCACCATCCCCGGCTAATTTTTCTATTTTTAGTAGAGATGGGGTTTCACCATGTTGTCCAGGATGGTCTCAATCTCTTGACCTCGTGATCTGCCCGCCTTGGCCTCCCAAAGTGCTGGTATTACAGGTGTGAGCCACCACGCCTGGCCTTTATTTACTTTTTTTGAGACAGTGTCTTGCTCTGTCACCCAGGCATGATCACTGCTCATTGCAGTGTTGACCTCCCAGACTCAGATCATCCTCCCTATTCAGCCTCCTGAGTACCTGGGACTACAGGCACACACCACCATGTCCAGCTAATTTTTGTATTTTTTTTTGTAGAGACGAGGTTTTACCATGTTGCCCGGGCTGGTCTCAAACTCCTGAATTCAAGCAATTCCCTTGCCTTGGTTTCTCAAGGTGTTGGGATTACAGGTGTGCACTGCCCCCGATGGACAAATTTCATAGAGAAATCCAGCTTTTGACTGACTAGTTTCAGCAACAGTTTTGTGTGTTTCTAAAAATTTCTGTGCTTGGTACTAAATTTTGTTTTTCTTTTTTCCCCTCTGTCAGGTTCTTCAGAGCAGATATCCTGGCCTATTGGCAGTGACTGATCACCTGCTTGACATTTATATCCAACTTACTGGAGAGAAACATCACTCTTGGAGTGATAGTTCTGTTGAGTGTGAACAGGCACCTGATGAAGTTTCAGAAGCCAGCAGAGAAAACAAAAGACCAATCCTTGAGGGAAGAGAATTATCTCTAAGGTATTGGA